AAGTTTGATTTTGAGCATAGATTCGTGATTCATCTCCGTGGATTTGGAACTCTTCATCTTCTTCAATCAGAGGTTAGTTCCTCTCTCTTTCTCTCACTCAAATCTCTCTCGATTATTCTTCAATTCAGTGATTCTTCTTCGAATTTTCTTCAGTTCGGTGATTCATCTCGGATTGTGATTTTGAAGTTTGATTTTGAGCATAGATTCGTGATTCATCTCCGTGGATTTGGAACTCTTCATCTTCTTCAATCAGAGGTTAGTTCCTCTCTCTTTCTCTCACTCAAATCTCTCTCGATTATTCTTCAATTCAGTGATTCTTCTTCGAATTTTCTTCAGTTCGGTGATTCATCTCGGATTGTGATTTTGAAGTTTGATTTTGAGCATAGATTCGTGATTCATCTCCGTGGATTTGGAACTCTTCATCTTCTTCAATCAGAGGTTAGTTCCTCTCTCTTTCTCTCACTCAAATCTCTCTCGATTATTCTTCAATTCAGTGATTCTTCTTCGAATTTTCTTCAGTTCGGTGATTCATCTCGGATTGTGATTTTGAAGTTTGATTTTGAGCATAGATTCGTGATTCATCTCCGTGGATTTGGAACTCTTCATCTTCTTCAATCAGAGGTTAGTTCCTCTCTCTTTCTCTCACTCAAATCTCTCTCGATTATTCTTCAATTCAGTGATTCTTCTTCGAATTTTCTTCAGTTCGGTGATTCATCTCGGATTGTGATTTTGAAGTTTGATTTTGAGCATAGATTCGTGATTCATCTCCGTGGATTTGGAACTCTTCATCTTCTTCAATCAGAGGTTAGTTCCTCTCTCTTTCTCTCACTCAAATCTCTCTCGATTATTCTTCAATTCAGTGATTCTTCTTCGAATTTTCTTCAGTTCGGTGATTCATCTCGGATTGTGATTTTGAAGTTTGATTTTGAGCATAGATTCGTGATTCATCTCCGTGGATTTGGAACTCTTCATCTTCTTCAATCAGAGGTTAGTTCCTCTCTCTTTCTCTCACTCAAATCTCTCTCGATTATTCTTCAATTCAGTGATTCTTCTTCGAATTTTCTTCAGTTCGGTGATTCATCTCGGATTGTGATTTTGAAGTTTGATTTTGAGCATAGATTCGTGATTCATCTCCGTGGATTTGGAACTCTTCATCTTCTTCAATCAGAGGTTAGTTCCTCTCTCTTTCTCTCACTCAAATCTCTCTCGATTATTCTTCAATTCAGTGATTCTTCTTCGAATTTTCTTCAGTTCGGTGATTCATCTCGGATTGTGATTTTGAAGTTTGATTTTGAGCATAGATTCGTGATTCATCTCCGTGGATTTGGAACTCTTCATCTTCTTCAATCAGAGGTTAGTTCCTCTCTCTTTCTCTCACTCAAATCTCTCTCGATTATTCTTCAATTCAGTGATTCTTCTTCGAATTTTCTTCAGTTCGGTGATTCATCTCGGATTGTGATTTTGAAGTTTGATTTTGAGCATAGATTCGTGATTCATCTCCGTGGATTTGGAACTCTTCATCTTCTTCAATCAGAGGTTAGTTCCTCTCTCTTTCTCTCACTCAAATCTCTCTCGATTATTCTTCAATTCAGTGATTCTTCTTCGAATTTTCTTCAGTTCGGTGATTCATCTCGGATTGTGATTTTGAAGTTTGATTTTGAGCATAGATTCGTGATTCATCTCCGTGGATTTGGAACTCTTCATCTTCTTCAATCAGAGGTTAGTTCCTCTCTCTTTCTCTCACTCAAATCTCTCTCGATTATTCTTCAATTCAGTGATTCTTCTTCGAATTTTCTTCAGTTCGGTGATTCATCTCGGATTGTGATTTTGAAGTTTGATTTTGAGCATAGATTCGTGATTCATCTCCGTGGATTTGGAACTCTTCATCTTCTTCAATCAGAGGTTAGTTCCTCTCTCTTTCTCTCACTCAAATCTCTCTCGATTATTCTTCAATTCAGTGATTCTTCTTCGAATTTTCTTCAGTTCGGTGATTCATCTCGGATTGTGATTTTGAAGTTTGATTTTGAGCATAGATTCGTGATTCATCTCCGTGGATTTGGAACTCTTCATCTTCTTCAATCAGAGGTTAGTTCCTCTCTCTTTCTCTCACTCAAATCTCTCTCGATTATTCTTCAATTCAGTGATTCTTCTTCGAATTTTCTTCAGTTCGGTGATTCATCTCGGATTGTGATTTTGAAGTTTGATTTTGAGCATAGATTCGTGATTCATCTCCGTGGATTTGGAACTCTTCATCTTCTTCAATCAGAGGTTAGTTCCTCTCTCTTTCTCTCACTCAAATCTCTCTCGATTATTCTTCAATTCAGTGATTCTTCTTCGAATTTTCTTCAGTTCGGTGATTCATCTCGGATTGTGATTTTGAAGTTTGATTTTGAGCATAGATTCGTGATTCATCTCCGTGGATTTGGAACTCTTCATCTTCTTCAATCAGAGGTTAGTTCCTCTCTCTTTCTCTCACTCAAATCTCTCTCGATTATTCTTCAATTCAGTGATTCTTCTTCGAATTTTCTTCAGTTCGGTGATTCATCTCGGATTGTGATTTTGAAGTTTGATTTTGAGCATAGATTCGTGATTCATCTCCGTGGATTTGGAACTCTTCATCTTCTTCAATCAGAGGTTAGTTCCTCTCTCTTTCTCTCACTCAAATCTCTCTCGATTATTCTTCAATTCAGTGATTCTTCTTCGAATTTTCTTCAGTTCGGTGATTCATCTCGGATTGTGATTTTGAAGTTTGATTTTGAGCATAGATTCGTGATTCATCTCCGTGGATTTGGAACTCTTCATCTTCTTCAATCAGAGGTTAGTTCCTCTCTCTTTCTCTCACTCAAATCTCTCTCGATTATTCTTCAATTCAGTGATTCTTCTTCGAATTTTCTTCAGTTCGGTGATTCATCTCGGATTGTGATTTTGAAGTTTGATTTTGAGCATAGATTCGTGATTCATCTCCGTGGATTTGGAACTCTTCATCTTCTTCAATCAGAGGTTAGTTCCTCTCTCTTTCTCTCACTCAAATCTCTCTCGATTATTCTTCAATTCAGTGATTCTTCTTCGAATTTTCTTCAGTTCGGTGATTCATCTCGGATTGTGATTTTGAAGTTTGATTTTGAGCATAGATTCGTGATTCATCTCCGTGGATTTGGAACTCTTCATCTTCTTCAATCAGAGGTTAGTTCCTCTCTCTTTCTCTCACTCAAATCTCTCTCGATTATTCTTCAATTCAGTGATTCTTCTTCGAATTTTCTTCAGTTCGGTGATTCATCTCGGATTGTGATTTTGAAGTTTGATTTTGAGCATAGATTCGTGATTCATCTCCGTGGATTTGGAACTCTTCATCTTCTTCAATCAGAGGTTAGTTCCTCTCTCTTTCTCTCACTCAAATCTCTCTCGATTATTCTTCAATTCAGTGATTCTTCTTCGAATTTTCTTCAGTTCGGTGATTCATCTCGGATTGTGATTTTGAAGTTTGATTTTGAGCATAGATTCGTGATTCATCTCCGTGGATTTGGAACTCTTCATCTTCTTCAATCAGAGGTTAGTTCCTCTCTCTTTCTCTCACTCAAATCTCTCTCGATTATTCTTCAATTCAGTGATTCTTCTTCGAATTTTCTTCAGTTCGGTGATTCATCTCGGATTGTGATTTTGAAGTTTGATTTTGAGCATAGATTCGTGATTCATCTCCGTGGATTTGGAACTCTTCATCTTCTTCAATCAGAGGTTAGTTCCTCTCTCTTTCTCTCACTCAAATCTCTCTCGATTATTCTTCAATTCAGTGATTCTTCTTCGAATTTTCTTCAGTTCGGTGATTCATCTCGGATTGTGATTTTGAAGTTTGATTTTGAGCATAGATTCGTGATTCATCTCCGTGGATTTGGAACTCTTCATCTTCTTCAATCAGAGGTTAGTTCCTCTCTCTTTCTCTCACTCAAATCTCTCTCGATTATTCTTCAATTCAGTGATTCTTCTTCGAATTTTCTTCAGTTCGGTGATTCATCTCGGATTGTGATTTTGAAGTTTGATTTTGAGCATAGATTCGTGATTCATCTCCGTGGATTTGGAACTCTTCATCTTCTTCAATCAGAGGTTAGTTCCTCTCTCTTTCTCTCACTCAAATCTCTCTCGATTATTCTTCAATTCAGTGATTCTTCTTCGAATTTTCTTCAGTTCGGTGATTCATCTCGGATTGTGATTTTGAAGTTTGATTTTGAGCATAGATTCGTGATTCATCTCCGTGGATTTGGAACTCTTCATCTTCTTCAATCAGAGGTTAGTTCCTCTCTCTTTCTCTCACTCAAATCTCTCTCGATTATTCTTCAATTCAGTGATTCTTCTTCGAATTTTCTTCAGTTCGGTGATTCATCTCGGATTGTGATTTTGAAGTTTGATTTTGAGCATAGATTCGTGATTCATCTCCGTGGATTTGGAACTCTTCATCTTCTTCAATCAGAGGTTAGTTCCTCTCTCTTTCTCTCACTCAAATCTCTCTCGATTATTCTTCAATTCAGTGATTCTTCTTCGAATTTTCTTCAGTTCGGTGATTCATCTCGGATTGTGATTTTGAAGTTTGATTTTGAGCATAGATTCGTGATTCATCTCCGTGGATTTGGAACTCTTCATCTTCTTCAATCAGAGGTTAGTTCCTCTCTCTTTCTCTCACTCAAATCTCTCTCGATTATTCTTCAATTCAGTGATTCTTCTTCGAATTTTCTTCAGTTCGGTGATTCATCTCGGATTGTGATTTTGAAGTTTGATTTTGAGCATAGATTCGTGATTCATCTCCGTGGATTTGGAACTCTTCATCTTCTTCAATCAGAGGTTAGTTCCTCTCTCTTTCTCTCACTCAAATCTCTCTCGATTATTCTTCAATTCAGTGATTCTTCTTCGAATTTTCTTCAGTTCGGTGATTCATCTCGGATTGTGATTTTGAAGTTTGATTTTGAGCATAGATTCGTGATTCATCTCCGTGGATTTGGAACTACTAGCAGCCATTGTAGCACATATCCACTGGCTGAGTACCATTATACCAAGTATATTTTTTCCTCCAACATGAAACACTTACAAAGAAGAGATATTAAAGCTTGAAGATGGTATCTAACCAGTGAGACAGAAATTTCTGATAGATAGTATCTTCAAACTAACAAGATTACCCATACCACTGGAATTTCAATATACAAATCCCATGAATCCTTTACTAGTATTCTTGCATTGTAATTAATGAAATTCAAGTGGTAGGAACATGTCAATATCAAATAAAAGCTTCTTTTGAAATGGTCTTGTTTAACATGCCCAGTTACTCTAACCTAATACCTTGGCCCCATTTTTTTTGGAATTCAAATGGGCTTCATTTTATGCAGCTGACGGTTGCGCATTTAGTAGATGCACACCTGTGCAGTGATCCAGGAAAGTATGTGAGTGCATTGATTCTCTCTCTATCAACAATGTTACATCTGGAACTTTCCCACATCAATGTTTTGTCTAAAATTGATCTCATTGAGAGCTATGGAAAACTAGGTACAAATGAGCTTCTATTAAATCATATCTGAAATAGATACGACTCAATTCGTTATCCTTTTCTGTTTAATCTACAACGGTCGAAGTGAGGTCACTTGATCAGTGGAATGCAGAACATTAACTATGACATATTTATGAATAATACGCAATGATTTTCCCTTTTATTTTATCAATTTTTTACTAGTTATAAGGTAGTGTTTTGTTTGTTTGTTTGTTTGTTTTTTCCAGTTTTGTTTTGGCAAGTTTGCAGTTTTGTTTTGTTTTTGTTTGTGTTTTTTTGATTTGGCATTTGGTTCAATATATCTGTTATTCATTATAGTGTGTTTTGTTTTTTCAACGCGGTTGAACTTCGGAATAGTTCTTCAGTTTTTTTTTATTCTTGGTTCAGTTACTTCAATGTGCACTTTCTTTCTCAGTCATTAATATCATTATTGTGTTTCATTGGTGCACTCTAAAACAGTACGTACCAATTTTGTCACTGAAATGTTCACTTTTGGGACTCTAAAACAGTACGTACCATGAAACAGTGCGTATCTGTTGTAACATGACTTTTTGTGATGATATGTAACTTTCTGTGTGAGTGATTGGTTGATTGACATAATTAAGGGAAATCATTGAGTTAGTTTTTATCTATTTTTTTAGGTTAATTAGGGACACCAGAGTTCATGGCTTCAGAAATATATGCTGAGGAATACAATGAATTGGTTGATGGCTTATTTCTAGTTAATGACTAGATATAAGTTATTTTCTGCCTTTTTCTGCTGTTTCAAAGCCTTAGAAATGACTGATTTGTTTAAATTGTTTTTCCAAGTACAAAACATTTTTCAACAGATGGTGAGTTGTAATGTAGATCTTATGTTTTATAGGTGTAACACTTCTACTGTTATTGATTTATGCACTTTACCTGATTTGGCTTCCATGTTCTGATGCAGGTATCTAGACCAGTGAAGACTACAGATTCTATGTTATATCAGTTGAGTTCAGTGAATTTAGTAACAAGGACAAGACATTAAATTAAATCATAACTCATGGAGTTTGTCTTGATGTTTTTCTTATTATTTTTTGGCAAATGTTAAAACATGATTTGTGGATATGTTATTTTTTAGTTAATGGTGATTGGATATTAAATTGAATGGGAAAGTGAATTACTGATATATTTGCTAATTGACAGCTTTTCATATAATCAGCTTATCTTTTGACAAATGTTCATTTGAATGGAAATAGGAGTTATTGTTTCATATTATTGTTACTTTGCAATTTTATTACAAGTATTTTTTTAGTTTAACCACATAAAATTAGCATAATTTCAAAAAAAAAAAAACAATTAAAAAAAATAAAGATGTAATGGCATTATTCAAAACCCCACTATATAGGTTTTTTAAAATTAAAAAATCTATGACGACGTTTTTGAAACGTCGCTAAAGGTTGTCAGGTTGTTGTGTTGCAGTTATGTATCACATTTAGCGGTGTTTTTAAAAAATGCCTCTTATAAAAATTTAGCGACGTTTCTAAAGCGTCACTAAAAACTGTGATGATGTCACTTTGCCTATATACCACATTTAGCGGCGTTTTTCAAAACGCCGCCTATAACAAATTAACGACGTTTTTAAACGCCACAATGCTATAGCAACGGCCGCGTCCTCGGCGTTTGGTGCTAAGCGTCACGAAAAGAATTAGTGGTGTTTTTGGCATTTATCGCGGCGTTTTTTAAACGCCGCTAAAAATTGAATTTCCTGCGGTGACATCCATATCTAGTAAGTATAAAAACTAGGATTTTTTTTTTCTTGATTGAAAAAAAAAAAAAAAAAAGACCTAGGATTTAATGAGTACTAAATGTTTGTGCCAACTAAAATATAAGGTTGCTGTTCTTATTATTACAAATATATATATATATATATATTGATATTTAATTTTGTAACATTTATTTATTTGTTTGTTTTACCTATTATATGAATTTGTTTGGTGGGCTTGAAATACCAATATTACTTTAGGACCAAGTTTTGGAATGAAAATTTTATAAACGATGATAAACTTGAACATTTTTGTTATTACTATCGTAGGCCTGTTCATAGGTCTTCAAGGTAGTTTTTGAATCTGCAGTTTATTTGACATGATAGTTTCCTAATTATAAGAAAATAAGATAAATATAAATATAAAAAAAATACAGACCAGTAGACCCATGGAGGCAGCATTAGTGCTGCAAAGGTGTGTAAGTTAATGGATTAGATCCACAGTTGCTTCAATGAGGAATACATGGCCTAGAAAAATTTGAGCTAAATTTGACACAGAATTTGACTTTGCCATTTTGTGACAATCGTTAGAGCAAGATTTTGTAAGTTCTAGCCTTTTTTTAAATTTTGGTAAGCATTTCGGCTGGACCATGGGAGTTGATCGTATTGGACCAAAAATTTAGACCCATTTATCGAACAGACGTTTGGAAATAGTCTTCAAGTTCAATTCAGCCCGGTAAGCCCAATCCAATTATTAATACATTATTTAAATTATTTATTTATTTTATTCATATATTATTTAAATTATTTCATGTATACATATTGGTAAGTAATGTACATAAACAATTTATTTAGTTTTAATTTTGCTATAATAAGGAAAATGCATTGTACAAAATACATCCATATATGGTTAGTATAAAAACTAGGATTGAGTGCTATATGCTTGTGCCAACCAAAATATAAGGTTGCTGTTATTATTATTACAAATATATATATATATATATATATTGATATTTAATTTTGTAACATTTATTTATTTGTTTGTTTTATCTATTATATGAATTTGTTTGGTGGGCGTAGATCGCCGGGAACTCCGTTCCGCGCGCGAGGGGGAGAATCGTAGTTCTTAGCTATTACAGTTTGGACTCGTGTCACGGTTCTGAATCTAATCTCACAAAGTGCAATGTAAGACTGATAAATCACCAAAGAGTTCAAATCCGGCAAATCGTTTTGGAAAATCGATTTTAATCAAAAAGCGCCAAACATGGACTGCTTTGCCAGATTTCAGAGTCGCCACCCAAATATTTTGTTTTGGAAAAATTTAGAAAACCTTGACTTGTGTCTAAGGCCATGTGTCCGTTATCACCAAGGTTACCTCGGCTCGGGAACTTGGGTACGAGAGGGAAAGGTCATACAATGAGCACCCCCGCTCGCCTGATCAAAAGATCGGCCTTTACTAACATGATATGTTATTTTTGAAAACACATGTGTTCTTATTCCGGCTTATTAGCTAGCTTACTATGTGATGCGCACAGCATACAAGTATAGACTAAATCACTCGATTTGGAACAAAACATCTCATGCTTGTTTTTGAAAATGGTTTGAAGTTGCTACTCACAAATAGGCTAAGTCGCGGATTTGTCACCCTCAAGTGGGCTTAGAAAACATGATTTTGCCACTTCAAGTGGGCTTAAAACTCGCATTTTGATGAATTGTTCCAATTCAAGCAATCCAACCTTCATCCACAGGCATTCATGCAGATATATTAGTTAAGCAAATAGTCTTATGGCAAGCATGCTAACATGGCAACATACACATCTCATGCAGTATGCTAAAGCATAAAAGCTTACCTAATACTTCGAGCTAAAACAAAAGCTAGTTAGTAATCAATGCATGATCCTAGCTATGTTATCAATGCCTAATGCAACACATGCAAAATGTAACTAAGATAGGTTCGGCTATTCTAAGATGTCATGTGAATGCAACTTGATAACATGTATTCAAATTGGTATTGAAATACAATGCAGTTTGTATGATGCGCCGAGCCCGGTGCATGTAAGACAGATGAATGATGCAAACATGTGAGCATAAGTATGCTAATTAAAACATGCCCTAAGACTAACCATCAAAAGCTGGTAAATAAAAAGGAGAAAGACGTGAGGTTGGAAGACATGCATCACACACACGCACGCTTAATAGAAAATTTGCCCTCGCGACGGAGGGTCCGAATGAATCAACTAACTAGCTATGCTAAGCTAATTAATTACAAACCAAATTGAAACTAGCTATACTAAGCTAATTAGAATATTACAACACAGATTAAACTAATTAATTACAAAACAAGTAATTAACTATAACTAGCTAGTGAAGCGGTAAAAATGGCCTCGCGGGGAGGGGTGTATGCATGTTTGGTCGGCTTCGCTCAGAAATCCACTACCGTGCCTTGTGATGCCTTTGTTTGCACTGTTTTAGACTTCCGAAAATTGTGCCAACTTCCAAGATACTTCTGATCCACCTTATGGACATGCTGAGGGGTGGTCGGCCAAGAGAAATGGCCATCAGCCAGAGTTTATGGCTATCGACCAATTTTGATAGCCGATCGGCAGACTAAGTGGTTGATTGGCAGCTCTGATGGCCGGTCGACCACTGCTTCCTGCAAATTCTTCCTTTTTGCTGCAACAGAGCACGAACAGAGGCATGGCAGTGTATTTGCAAGAAAATGTGTGTGCAACCACACTCCTTATCATGTCACATGCTCAAAGGAGTGTGGTACTTGACCCTCGGGCCATCAATCACGCATCTCAATGCATAATGGCCAAAGAAGCCAAGTTTGCACAATTTAATGTCAATGAATGCACAAATAACACATAAGGGCTTTAACCTCTATCATGTATGATCAAGAGGGTCGGCGAGCGAGAAATGAGGCACACTTCATCACTTCAAGTATGAAATGTCCCTCGTTTCTCGTGTTTGGATTAACACCCTATCCAAACATTATGCAATGCAACATAATCAACTTATCAATGCTAATGGCATGCAAACACAATGCAATGCAACAACATGCAAACAACATGCGATGTAACAAAATGAAAACAACATGCAAATACAATGCAATGCAACAACATGCAAACCACATGCTATTCTACCAATGCTAGGATGACATGCACAAAATTCTATCATGCAAACAATGCATGCATGGCAAGGTTAGAAGCTAAGGCATCAAAGCTAGTAAATGGCACCTCACAAGGGGCATACAAAACAATGCTCAATGGACTTAAATCGAATATTGACAGACCTAAATCATGCCCAAACAGTGGCCAAAAAGATCTGAAATGATAGCAATAGAAGCAATAAAATGCAGGCTCATGCATTGGCCCACCAACTAGGCATAAGAACACAACTCTCAAACACAATCAAGAAGTGACAAACATGGAAGCGTGACAACACTACATGCTCTGAAATCAGGTGTGGAATGATGCCAAATCACTCAAACAACACAAGCATAGCATGCTAAAAGGCTAAAAGCTTAAGGCTAGCAAAGGGACTTGCATCATGGCCATATCAAGCAAGCCCCAAAGGGCTAAGGTGACTAAAAATAGTCCCAAGGTAGGTCAAAACAAGGCCAAAACATGCATGGAGTATAGCCAAAACAAGCTAGCATGAAGGTATGAAGCATGGAGCACGCAAGGCCAACAAGGAGGATTACACTACACCTACCAAAACCAAGCATGAGGTGATTCCACCAACCAAAACAGAGTTATGACATGTTAAATAATGACCAAAAACATGTTGGAATGGAATCAACACATGCTAGAAAGATGAGCCAAAACCTTAAACATATAAGACTAGTTTGCAAGGATTACACTACAAGTGTATTAAGCATGCAAGAGACAATCAAACCAACCCAAAACAGAGTTATACCATGCTAGAATAAAGCCCTAAACATGCTAAGATAAAGCCAAAACATGCTAGAAAGATATGCTCCTTTACAAAGCTATAAGTAGGATTATACTATAAGTACAAGAAGCATGCAAGGGGTGACCAAGATAGCCAAAAAAAGAGTTTCAATTGGTTGGCCATCAACACAAGCAAGCAAGACAAGAGGAGAGGGGACCACCCTCTCCTATTTTGAGCCTCAAAACAAGTTTTCTACCACTAAAATTCCTCTGAAATTCAGTGGTTTTAAGGCCAAAAAGAAGTTGTTTGAAAAGCTTGAAAGATAGCTCAAAAGGCTTTACAAACCAAGGAGCAAAAGGGAGGAAACACCCCCTAGACAAACAAGGCTTAAACCAACACTTTTAGGACTGAAAAATAGAGGAAAAACAGAGGTTTTTGTAGTTCAACACCACCCCAAAAACAGCTCCAAAACAATGGAAAAATGGTGGTGAAGCAAGTGTGCAAAA